CAGTGAGTGGTGCATGAGCCCAGGCTTAAAGGATGTCTCCCTCTGGGCTGTGTCTGACACCCTATGCCCAACTGTGCCTAACAGCCCAGTATACCTTCCTGGGCTCTGATTGCTTATTCTTCTCACTTTTGGCTTTTAAGGTTCTCTCTCATTCCCTTGAGACATTTATCTGAGAGCTGAAACTCCACCTGAGTAACCTTCACGAGTGCAGAAACTACACCCCTGGGTCCCTTGAGCACTTGTGCCTCAACACACTGGCACCCAGATTGTGCCCCCACCAATTTGCAGATTGGGGCAGCCCCCTGCACTTTGTGTTTTATGACAAGAGGCCCACAAAATGAAAGTAAGACACTTCACTTGACCTGTTGGTAAAAGGACAGGGCAGAAACCACCCATAAGGGAGAAAGCTCCCAACTCAAGGGCAGGCAGGCATGATTGTCACAGCATATTGGAGGGCAGATGTGGAAGCAGCCTCAGATGATCCTGTAACTAGAAGCATCTCTGTGCAGTCAGGAAGGGCTGTATGCAGATGGGCCAGGTAGGGGTGGCTCATGCCATATACCATCACCTCCCTTTTCACAGCTCTTGTCATCCAGGGATGGCAGAGGCAGAACTGAGAGAAAGCAACCTGTGGATGACCTTCAGAGGTACAGCCTCTTAGCCAAGGCCCGGAAACCTAAATTGGATCTTTTCCCCAAGGCCTGGCCCAAATTTGATTCTGCTGTGGCAAGAAGAGCCCCCAGGTAGAAATCCCATGTGTGTCTCTGAGGTTTTATAATTAACCTTCTCTCAGGGGCTTCTTAAAAGAGTTTTCTTAGGGGCCTCTGAAGGGAATTCCTTTGATTTGGGCTTCCTAGAGCACACCTACAATGAGGACAGATGGTCTATCTAGGAGGTGATTCTGGACTTTGCTGGAGGCAAGCAGGGCCATGAAGAAGGAGTAGGAAGGGTGCAGACAGGAGGCACTGTGGGACCTGGGCCCCTGACTTCTGAGGTAGCATGAAAAGCCAATCCATGGTAGAAACCAAGGCAGGTAGAGAGATATGGAGGAACTATGCTTCAAGTATCCCCATCCCAGGAGGCAGACATCTACCAGAGGTTATCATAATCCAGTCCCAAGTCAGAATCACCCACCAGGCCCCTGATGAAAACAAGAGACAAGAGTAAGTGATTACTTTTGCTTCCAGCTGCAAAGTTTGGTGATGATGTTATATTTCAACAACAGATGAACACACACATGTATAAAGCAACAAGGAGTCTTCCAGGCTGGGATGGCTGAGGACTCTCCCAGAAGACAAAAAGTCAGGCTGCCCAAGGGGAGCTGGACACCAGACCTGAAGGAAGCTGCTGCAAGCAAGTGGTCAGTTCATAAGTGGTGTGGTCATGTCATAGCCTGAGATCAGTTTTCTTGAGGTTTTTGACAAACACTCACTTATGCCACATGAAATTCATATGTAGACCAGGGTGTAGACAAGTCTAGGCTCACAGGACAAGTACATAGCACCTGGTCATTCCAGCCAAGAACCACCTGGTGTTACCTGCCCCTAGGAGGTGCCAATAAGTTTTGTTCCTTTGCCATCCTCTCCTTCCTCTCCTATAACACAGTAGGTAGGAACAGCTGGGAACAGGGGCTGCTTACAGAATCCACTGAGCTTGGCTGAGCTGTCTTCCCGTAATACTTCCACCTAATAACGACTTCCGTGCCTGTGGTTTACAGACCCAGGGAGCCAGGTCAGGAATCTCTTGTGAATAGTAAGAAAACATGCCAAGGACTCTGCAGCTTTAGTCCAGAAGTGACCAGGTTGGAAGCCTTCCTTCCGGTCCCTTCTTTGTCTCAAAGGGACAAGCAAGCTGTTTTGTAGGTAGTTACTCATTTTCTAAAACAAAGGTTAGTGTCAAGTCACTTTCCTTAGTCTATGGCCTGTGCAAACAACAACTGTACCTTTGGTATCTTGGAGCCCAGTTACTCTACTTCTGTGAAATCCAAACATCAAGTAGCTTTGCTGAAGAGCAGCCTGCTCGTTAGGCCTTTGCTGTCCTGACTGTCTTCCATGGTAGTGCCTTGACAACACATTCCCTGGTACTCCTGTAGGAACAGATACCTTAGAACTAAGCATAAAAATGCAGACAGAGGTCCCCTAGTATGAATGAAAAAAGTTTGTATGATTCTCAGACACGTAGGTTTTGGGGTGAGAGCTCTTTCTGGTGCTGTGTGTGTGTTCAGAATCCTCAGTATTGGGCCAAAGTTCAGCTCAAGGGACAGGAAGACTACTACTCCCTCCTAAACAGCTCCTAGGGAAAAACACGTGGAGGCATTTGAAGGAGGTGATCTTGTATGGCTGACACACTTGGTCATTCATCATTAGCTGTTGACCTCCAACTAATACTGGATTATTGATCCCAAGTTCATGTCCTGGTGAAGCTGATGAATGAAGATGCCAGACTAGGAGTTAAGAGTAAAGCAAGCACAAGGATGCAAAAGCTCCCACATGGAAGGGGCTTAGGAAAGCTTCAGCCATAGTATGGCTGAAGTCTAGGAGTAATATAGGGCTCTGCCTGGCTTAGGTCCAACTATTCTACCTTGAAACTCTATTTGTGATTGGTTGGAGCCTAGTCAACTCTCTGTTGAACCCAGCCACTTGCCCGTCCCCATCCTTATCGACCAGAACATTCTGGGAAAGTCTGGTCAGTTTTTCTGGCCTTGCGGCCCACTGCCTACATCTAACAACTGCATTTTGTTATTTTGGTGAGAGACTTGTTATTTCTCTGAGAAACCTGTTTTTCCCATGCCCCTTTGGAAGTCTGTTTCTGAAGTGTTTCCCTCATCCAAAATGGAGCCACCTCTGTCATTGCTCCTTTATACCACCAGGACACGAGTCCAGGCCTTAGGAAGACCACAGTGGACAAGGGAGATTTGGACCCTGCTCCAAAAGTCAGCACCCAAATGTGTGAACACTGACGAAATAGGGAAGTTTCATGCAGGATTCTTGTGGAAAAGTGCCGGATCAGCTATAGGAACCTCCACCCTCCTCTTGGCTTCCCTTCACCTACTTTCCCCCAGCCTTGCTAAGAAACTGTGCTAAGAGTGAGGATAATGACAGTGGCAGCAACGAAACCATGCTTCTGATGAACAAGGACTGTTTAGAGATAATGCCAAGAAGGGCAATTACAGTAAATTATGTTACAGGACATTGGGAGTGCTGCTAGATAAAATGAAACCCAGCTAATTATGACCTAATTAATTAATTACTGTTGTCCTAGGAGGCTTCTCAATTTGCATTCCCTCAGCTGTGCTACATCAAAACTTATTCCCAGTGAGCTCCCAAGCTCAGTTCCAAGGCAAAAACTAAGGGAGTTAAAAATAAAATCTAGCTTTCAAGATTCAGAAGTTAGGGAAAAGAGAAGGGGCCAGGTGGCAGATAGAGGTCCCTCTGAACACATCACAGATTTCCAATCTCATCAAAACAGGGTCAAGAGATTGTGGAAGAGGAAAAGCCACTTCCTAAGTTCTCTCTGAGTTTGACCCTCTGTGATCCGTAGCATGGAGTGAACAGCCTGTCTTCCAATACTGGCCCATGAGATGTAGAAATATCACAGATGACTCATAAATGATAGGTCTGGTAAGAAAAATCTAGTTTTCCAGTGATGGCCCATGAGAGCAAGTTAGGACATTCCCTAGTTAAGTGGGCTTTGCCTTTACCCTGACTAAAGAGGCCCCTCCACAGGCCTGGATTAGCCCTTCTCAGCATTACTCCTCACTCCTTGGGAGTATCCCTCTCCATCTGCCATGTGAGCTGTTTGACTTGGGTGTTCAGGTCATGATGGCGGTGACTGAAGCACACAACAGCCCACAGTTTTGGCATTAAAGAATGGCGTGTCACAGCACAAGTCGGCAAGCAGAGTCTGAACAGATAAATGCTCATGTTCCTCACACAGCAAATCTGGACCAGGAGGCTCTGGTGTTGTTTCAGAGGTTCCTGAGCATCAACACAGACTTTTGTAACCTTCTCTCAGCTTCTCTCCTGGATCCGTGCCCACAGCAGTTCCAGGCTCCACATCTGCATCCCCAGGCAAGAAGGAGGGCGGTGTCATCCACATGAGTCCCACATCTTACCCTTCCCAAAGTTCTCCTAGAGACACCCACTGCAATCTCCCTAATCTATACTTGCTACCCCCCAGGGTGTGGAGAAGGGCAAGGAAGGAAGAAGTTGGGAATGGACTTAAAGTCCTGCTATGAAATACCATATCTGACACCACATCCCACTTCCATGTTCCTGTTTTCCTCAGGACCCTAAGAAATGAGAATCTTATTAAACCAACACCTTGTCATGTAACTGAGTGCTCCAAAGTATAGGTAGTGATCTTACATGAAATTATTCTGACAATGGACAATTATTTTGACAATGCCACTCTGGCAGGGGTAAGGGACCGTCAGAAAATCAATGGATGGCCATATGATGGCTAACTACTAAAAAGTGAAGCCCCAAGTATTCTGGGGTTAGTTTAATAATCTGATGCCGTAGTTTCCTTTCTGGGGAATGAGAACTATAATTTCCTTCCCCATAACCCTACTGGGTTATAGAGGTTAAATAAGGTAAGTGTGAACATGCTTTAGAAAGTTAAGTGTCAGTCAAATGAGGAAAAAAAAAAAAAACACTGTTGTTCTTGTGTAGGAAGGGTGGCCCTGGAGATAAGAAGCTTCATCCATAACTGAGACCTCACACCCCATACCCGTGGTAGTCACTCAGCTACTTCAAGCCTTACTTTTTGTCCCTAGAAGTGTGAGGAGCAGTGATAAACACCAGCCATGTACCTTCCAGTTAGAGAGCCCTCATGGTGGAGGACAAATGCCACTTCCTTTTTGGCCATTCCTATATTGACAGGTTCTCTCTGGAATCAACTGAAGTTTCACATTGGGACAGAGCCACAGACACACTCTCCACTCCCTGTTCCTTCTGACTTGCTCACTCTCACTTCCTTTTTCTTCCCTTATTCTGCAGACAAACAAAGCCGTAGCCAAGGGGGACTTTCACCAGGCCAGCACCAGCTCCCGGCGAGCTCTATTCCTTGCGGTGCTGTCCATCACCATTGGAACTGGCATCTACGTGGGCGTGGCCGTCGCCCTCATCGCCTACCTCTCCAAGAACAACCACCTATGAGCTTCCTGCAGGCAGGCATGGAGGGGAAGGACCTGGGCCAGGTCTGTGGGCACCAAGTGGGTAGAGCTGGCCAGGGGTAGACACACTTGTGAGATGCTGTACAATACAAGTGATTGCGGAATGACTCCATGATGCCCTGGAATTTTCTACCCCTGGATTCCTTTTGTTTTTATCCGTCCATTTCATTTCACAGCACAGTATAGACCACCAGACAGATGGGCACTGCTAATTCTTCCAAAGATCCCAGCCCAAGAGGCTATCTCTGGATGGATTCTGGTGGATTAATGACAATGTGGCTTTCTCTGCAGCCTGTCAGTGCCTGGAATGCCCCTGCATTAGCAATATACAAACAGTAAAATTTTAAAAAGTATTTATTTTTTATGGAATACGGTGCAATAGGCAGAGGGCAGGGGACACGGTCACTCTGCTGTCTGTGGCCCGCTTGACTCTTCTGCGTTCCCCCAGTCTACATGGCTTCCTTGCCAGAAGTAAATGGAGCCGAGAAGGAAGAAAGGGCACATCTTCAGGAAGGACCCAGCTGGCACTGTCTGGAGGTGGTCCCACCCAGAGAAGGCAAAGTCAGAATAACATAACATCTGTCCCCAGGCCCTGTTCCTTCCTGCTGTGCTGCCCCAGTTAAGAATGCTGGACCGTGTCACTCAGCAGTTATCATGGCAATGCGCAGTCTTGGGGCCTCTTTGGGTAGATGGGAGGCAGGCCGCAGCTCCTCCTGCAGCATGTGAAGAAAGAACCCAGTGTTTGTTGGGGACCTGAGGCAAAAGAGCTATGAAGACACCCGGGGTGCTTCTGAAACAGTCACCCTGTGGACGCTCACCCTGGTCATGGACAATGACAAAGAGATCCGAGAAATGGGATGGGCCTTACTCTGTAGACTAAATGAATAGCTATTTTCTTGTCATTTTTTAAAGTGTAACTCTTGCTTCATGCTGCTTAAGTTATCAGATGAATGCTGAGAAATAAGTAATCACAGATGTTTTAATACCATTTCATTGCTGTTTTACGAGTGTTCATTATTTAACAAAAGTTATCTTTTAGCTTGTTTGCTTATGACTGTTCTTTCTGATGAATAGCAATGGTTGGGTTTAATTTTGATGATTTATTTGGTGTTTAAATGACTGCAGAGCACACAGGACTCAGCTGCTGAAGCAGTGGTATGGTCATCTCCCAGGGCAAGAATCACATATCCACCTTGAACATAGTTAATAAATGCTGCCATCCTGATCCCGAGAATGCAGCAACCCTCTAACAGCGGTTATACCTGCGGCTCAAGCTTGTAATCCTAGCTAATCTGAAGGCAGAGATCAAGAGGATCATGGTTCAAAGCCAGCCTAGGGAAATAGACCCTATCTTGAAAATGCCCAACACAAAAAAAGGGCTGGCAGAGTGGGTTAAATGGAGCATCTGCCCAGCAAGCATGAAGCCCTGAGTTCAAAAACCCAATACCACCAAAAAAAAAAAAATTCCCTATGTCTGGAATCCTGGTATCCCAGAAATCTTGATTAGATTGGTCAGGGGTACAACTTGGTCATTCCAATATTCAGCAAAGGTGAGAACCACTGTCCTGGAATAAGGACTACAGCTTGATCTCCCCCACCTGCCACTCTCTCCCTTGACCTTAAACATTTAATGTTTTGAAAATTATTAACACCATCTTTGTGAGTCAAATCTGAGACTCACCCAGCATTTGTCTTTGATAGTCCAAAAGCATACTCTAAGATCTTATCCCTATGAAGACTATATAGACACCCAATCATCTCCATGAAACCCAGAGTATATAGGACTGGAGTCACAATAACTTGGGCTTGAATCCAATTGCACTACTTTCTAGTTCTGTGATCTTGGACAGATGCCTGCACCTCTCTGAACCTCACCTCTGTGACAAGATAAATGGTAAGGCTCACTTCATATGATTGCTAGGGAATTCCTGGGAAGGAAACCACACACATAGTGCCTGGCATATGCACTGTAGATGGGGTGGTTGTGGTTACCTTAGGTGTCCCTATAGGTGACAGGACATATCAAAGCTTATTTGTACCTTTCCCTCTGCATTCCAATATCTGGGTTTATTCATCATGAGCCATTGTATAAAATGTGCTTTTCTGTATTTGTTCTGAAATGTCCCATTTCAAATTCAAAGGGTGTCCAAAGTTACATCTCTTTGGGTTTGAAGAAACAGAATAAGTCTTTATATCCTCACCCACCACCTTCATTAGCACCATCACACTTGTCCTAATCCAAACTTTCTGTGCCAGACAAGTTAACTCCTATTATACCAACTGGCCATTTTATCCCAACACTGTCTTTCCACAGGGAAGAGTTTCAGAATCTTACCTGAAGAATCTGCCCTCCCTATAGTTTCTCAGGTTCTGCCTAGTCTCTCTCCAGGGCCAGGCACCAAGACCATTTGCCATTCCATATCGATGGGAACGATCACAAGTTTGTGCACTCAGGACCAAGTAAATGGAGCTGTGTGACACAACAGCTCACTTGGAGGGCAGATAACAGGATAGGGAGATCCTATGACCAGCTTGGCCTTGGCAATTGCAGGGGAAGTGACTGAATCTCATCCTCAGTGACTCTGTTAGTGTCTGCTGCAAATCAGAGCAATCTCCTTGCAGCCTGCACCTCCCTGGACTGCACTAGCATGGTGACTGTACCCACCATTGCCCTGGCCTGAGCATCCCCTGCCCTGGGCACTTGCATACATGATCTCATATAATCTAAATGAGGAGGTGAGAGAACTGCAGTTCAGATAAGGGAAGGCACCCAGCACCACAGAAGGAGCCAGGTGTAGTGGGCAGACACAGCCTCATCTGCACAGATCCAGCCTGGCTCCCCACAGGTGTCAGAGTGCTATTGCTTCTCCCCATCCCTGTACCAAGGACAAAGTTTCTGTACCACACTAGCTCAGCCAACCCTGCCTTTTCAGAGGCCCCAGCCAAGATTTTGGGCCCTCACCCTTGAGGATTTTTGGAGTCTCTTTGAGAGACTGGTTGAAATGCCAGCCCCATGAGGACACTATTGGGTTTCCACCTACATTATTTGCTGTGAGTATTGACATTTGTTGACACAGTATACCAATAAACCTTTAAGCGCCTGAGGCCACACTGACTCCCGATAATGCACAGCTGTGCATCTCCTGCTGTGAGATAAGGCTGGGCCTCTGCACTACTCCCATACATTGGGAGTTTCTGATGAACCAGAATGGCTGTGATGTTCCACCCCTTGAAAGCTCCTCCCTGGTCTTCAGAATGACCTCAGCCGCCCAAGAGGCAGAAGGACAGAGCCCCTGTTTTCCAGAGCTTCTTATCTGAAGATTCTGCTCATCTCTGCAAAGCAACAATGGACACCAAACCACAGACACATGGGGCCTGCAGTCTGCTGGCTCCATGCCAAACAAGCTTGTAACTCTAGTAATGGATTTGTCAGCCGCTGAGCCCTGCAGGAGGAGTCAAAGCTCCATGCAGAGTGAGGGCAGAAAGGATAGGAGCTACTAACCTTGAGTTAAAGGCACAGCAGGGCTCAGGATCATAGGGTGGGTGGCTGTGTGTCACTGCAGGGAAATAGGATGGGGCACAACCTGGGACAGGCCCCAGAAAAATAAGGGCAAGTGCAACTGCCCACACAGACACCTGAGAGTAGAGCTCCATACAGGTTTGTGTAACAGTGATCCACGGGCAGAGAGACCTTAAGGGTGATGAAAGGTAATGGAGTAGAATGTGGTGCCTCCCAGGAGAAGCTCTAGGCTGAAGACATTCCCAGGCAGTGCTGCTGGCCTGTGCTTTCCAAACCCCCAAAATGGTGAGAGGAGCAACCCAGGGCTATAGGTGGCACCTGTATTTGCTTGAGCTAAAAGATGCCAAGCAAGCTTCTGTTCCAGGAGGAAGGTCGAGGGCTAATTCCTTGGGGTTTTGTCATTGCTGCTGCTGCTGCTGGTACTGCTGTAATTAATTGTGCTTTGTTTGTGAAAACCCATGGAGTAGGACAGATTTCTTGAAGATAGCTGTGGAAGGCCTGGTGACAGCTAGATGGAGGCAGGGATGAGTCCCTGGTGCCATTGTCACGTGGCTACCTCCTTCCCTCTCTGGATGCCCTCTGTGAGACTCTTTTCCACACTGGGTGAGGGCTGGCACAGGGGTATGACGGTGCCCTGCTAAGGCACTTTTGACAGTACTCTTCTGTTCACTGAAAGCTCTGGGATCCACTATAACTGCCCATGACCACACGCACTGGAGGCTCCATAGGAGAAAATGGGAATTGCTGAGATCTGAACCCACAGAGTGAGCTGTGTGCATCCATAAGCTCTGGGATGCTTTGCATGTCCACTATCAGACTTTCACTGCCATAGTGCTAAAGCCACTGGTGAAGAGTGACATGGGCAGGAGCCTTATCTTGACTGATCAAGAGAGCTTCACTGACTTTCCTTGTGGGCCCCTCCATTGCCTCATGTGCCTCTGCCTTTACCAAGTGTGCCTGAGTATCAGAGCTGAGAGGCACAGGCCACAGCACAGAGATACAGTTCCCAGACTTACCTCAGAAGTGTTGCCTCTGGCTTTCTGCCTCCCTTCAGGTCAGGATTAGCACTGTGACTGCTGTGTCCATCGGGCCATAGCTTACCATTGCTGTTGCACCTATATCCACAATACAGGGGCCATGGAGTATACAGCCCAGGCGCTGAGATTACTGTTCCTGGAACTGAGCACTGCTGACAGTTTCTTCTTTTACCCAAAGCCTATTGTTCCAGTGTAGAGTGAGCTGGGGACTACACTTTTACCCAGGCCAGAAAGAGAGGCTCACATGCCTGCCCAGCACTCAGGCATGCATCAGGGAACAAAGATAAATGAGTACAAGATGCTTGTGAAGGCACCATATGAATGCCAGAGAGTGGCAACCCTGATTGCCTCCAGGGCACTATGTTGTGTTTTACACTGCAATCAGGTCATTTGGGATCAATTTAAATATAGAGGGATGGACGGAGA